TGTATGACTACATTCGGAATACATGCCTACATTACATTGATGAACTAGAGCTAGTTCTGTGTCATCCTATGTTATAACTATTACATGAGAAATCACATCCGACATAATTATCCATCATTGATCCAATGCCTATGAGCTTTTCACATACTGCTCTTTGCTTAGTTACTTTACCGTTGCTGATGTTACAATTACTACAAAACTGCTACTGTTAATTTTGCCACTGTTACCGTTACTTCCATACTACTTTGCTATCAAATACTTTGCTGCAGATACTAAGTTATCCAGGTGTGGTTGAATTGAAAACTCAATTGCTAATACTTGAGAATATTCTTTGGCTCCCCTTGTGTTGAATCAATAAATTTGGGTTGAATACTCTACCCTCGAAAACTGTTGCGATCCCCTATATTTGTGGGTTATCAAAGACCCTATCATTGAACGTTCCTTTTCCAATTCCGAAGGGGACCCCTGCCCCTCACATTGGATCGAAGGGTGTCGGACCATCGGAAATTGGAGCAACTCACCCTAGAGCAAGGAGCAGTATATATTCTGGAGCACCTTGGGGGATTCTCAGCATGACCAACCCACTGTGAAAATATCACCAGGAGAAGAGCCCTACCGCAGCTCACTGGATCATACACGAAGAAACGAAGCTGCTGAAGGACGAGGACGCAGATGGAACAAATAGCAGAGTTGATAAGCGACCGTAGCTGAGATAAGATCAATGCTCAATGAATTAATGTTCACACCGCCCACACCGTGTTTCTGCTCACTGGGAGAGGAACCCTATCCCCTCCCCTACCATGGCAATGACGCCGACTCACCGGCAAGCACACACACACACGGCTAGTCTGCAGACAATTACAAGGAGCTAATCTTGTGAAAATTTGCATCCCGGTGCTACCTCCAACTGCCATGTCGCTGCTTGCCGGAAAACCACATCGAAACGCTAGTGCACACCCCCAAACTCACCCAACACAGCACCTTCAGCAAGGTGACGGCGCGGACGTTGCGCCGCTACCGCCAAGCCCAGAACTGGCTAAGGTTTTCACCAGGGTATGAGAAGGGATCGGAGGGAGCGGGGACCGAACCTCGACGGTGCCTCCGGGAAGGGGAACTACGCCAGCAGGCGTCGCCACCATCGTGACCGGAAAGCCGGCCAAAGATTTCCCTCGGACCGATCTCGCACCTCCGACGTCCCCACCTTCCATGGATCTGGCGACCAGCGACTGCCACAGACCACATCCAGCGGGGAAAAGGCGAAAGAAGGGGGAGGAAGGACCTCCAGATCTGACAGGCAGTCAGGGGCACCAGGCCACCCGCCGCGACCTGCGCCCGACGCCTCCACCGCTCGCCGCCTGCACAGCCAAGGGGGAGGATGAGCACCAGCGAGCGCCGCTTACCACAGAGCCGGCATCGGCGCACCTCCCGAGGCCGCCGCCTCGGCTTCCGAAGTCCTCCGCGAGAAGACGAAGCAGCATGGCCTCGCCGCCGCATTCCTTGGCAGTCGCGCAGCCTTCGTCAGCAACCCCTCTGGTGGCAGCGAGGAGTGGAAGGGAGGCGGAGGGGGTTCAGCGGCTAGGGTTAGGTCGCCGCCCACATCGCCCCCGAGCGGAGCGAAGCGGGGGCCATTGGGGGGGTTCCACAAATCTTCGCACGTGCAAGACTTGTAAACTAAGATGGAGAAAGTACTACTTATTAGAGCATCTCCAGCCGTTCGGCCCCCCAGGGCGCCAAAAAACTGCGGCCTGGGGGCGAGCCGGCGCTAGTTCGGCCCCTAGGGTCGGCCTAGCTCCCATTCACGCCCCCAGCCACTGCCCCCCAGCCACGGAAAATTCAAACATAGTCTTCTCGCGCCCAAAATAAATGCCACCATCCGGCGATCAAGCGACCAGTAGACCGGCGGACGGATGAAAAGTTTGGCGTACAAAAAGATGAAAAGTTCGGATGGAAACGCGCATCAGGCGTCGAGGTCGGCCTCAGGCGTTGGCGGAGTCGGCGTGCGTGGGCTTGACGGGGCCTCTGTGCTTGGCGGCGTGGCTTCTGTGCTGCGGGCAGTCTCGGCGGCATCAGCGGTCGGGCTTGGCGGCGGCGGCGGCGTGTGCGTGGGCGTAGGCGGCGGCGTCGAGGGAAGCTGGTCCAGGATGAGGCCAACATGCGCCCTGTACCACGCCTTGACCGCCTCGTCGGTGCTCTGGAGCATGTCCGCCCCGCCCAGCAGGAAAACCAGGTCGGTGTTCCTCTTCTTCGCGGCAACGTTGGTCCGGAGTAGGTCGAGCTTGACGGCGCTGGTCGCCATCAACGCCGACCACCACTCCTCAGTCTTCTCTTCACGAAGGGCGGCCCGGACCTGTGCGTCGGTGAGGCAGTGCTCGATGGATTCCTGCACGCGAGTTGTGGCCACGTCGGCGTGTTTCCCCTTCTTGGCACCTTTGTTGCTGTCCGGCCGCCCATCTGACGCGCCCGGAGTCGTCACGTCAGGCTTGTAGGTCTCCTTGGCCTTCTCGAGAGTGCGCCGGACTTCCGCCCACTTATCGCACTTGTCAATGCGCTTGTAGACATGGAGGTATTTGAACTCGACGTCGTTGTTTCCCTGCCTATATAGGCCGAACATACGCAGCAACTGCACGGGGACGAACAAACAGTTGGCGGGTGCACGGCGAAAAGAGGCGCAAGACCGGCATGGCATACCTGATCCTCAATGCTGGCGCCGCTCTACGGGCGACCGGCGACCTCCTCGACGACCCCATGCCATTTGTTGCACGCCCCTGGATACGCCCCCAATGGTTCGCCATCGCCTTCGACCCGCGCTGCATGTAGACGCTTTTGAAGTCGGGGTCGACCAGCTTGCGCTCGTCGAACTCGGCCTTGATGCGCGCCCAGTACGTCTCGATGCTCTGGTTCGCGCGAGTGGTCGGGTCGAGGCAGACGACCTTCCATGCTTCGTCGAGGCATTCCTCCTCTTTGGACGCCCACTTGATGCGCGGCTCTGGCCTGGCTGCCACCTTCTTCTTCTTGCGCCCCCTCGCCGGCTCCTCCTCGTCCTCCTCGTCCTCCTCGTCACGCTCCTCCTGCTCCTCGTTGTCGTAGCCGTAGCCGAGCTCGCCGTCCATGCCGCCGCTGAGATCCACCGTCTCGTCCGCGGTGGACCTGGCAGACGCGGCGGCCGCGGCCGAACCTTCCGCGATGATGTCGTCCATGTCAGCTCGGTCTCGTCGGCGTCGCCAAGCTGAGAGACGGGCAGCGCGCAACGGCGGAGAGGGGGTGTCGGAGCGGACGCGTACGCGGGCGGCGAGTAGTTGTATGGAGGGTACTGCACGCCGGTGAAGGCGGGCGAGGGCGTGCGCTGGGCGGGGTGGCCATGGGGGAAAGTGATGTTCGGGTTGAACACACCGTGCGCGTCCCCGTTGGCGTAGCCCGGCGACCCCCATGGCTGCGGCCCGGAGACCCACAACGCCTTGCTGGCCCCAGGGCGCGTACTGCGTGTGGTTGCCGGGGGAATTCATCATCCCCGCGCGAGTCGCCTCGGCCTCGGCCTGGTCAGCGGCAGCGGCCGCGGCCGCGGCACCCGCAGCCGCGCGCGCCGCGTTGTCACGGGCCTTCTTGGCGAGGGCCATGTTCCGCCGGTCGGCGGTGACGGCCTCCCGTCACTGTACTTCCACCCTCCAATCGGCGTTTGACATGGTCGGCGGCTTGGACGGCGGCGCCCTCGGCTTCCTCTGCTTCGGCTGGGTAACGGAGGCGGTCGCGGTCGCCGCGGCGCGGGGGACGGCGTACTTCTTCGGTGGCATGGCGGCCGGCTGGGAGGCGAGCGGGAGGGAGAATGGCGGGAGGAAAGGAGCAAATGAGAGGGAAGTGAGGGAAAAGTGGGAAGAAACAGCGGGAAGAGGCGCTCGTCTCGCCGACAGGGCGGACTCACGCGC